TTAGCCTTTTGTTTCTGATCATGGGGCGTTCTTGGCAAAGATACTGGAGTGGCATTGCCATTTCCTACTCCAGGTGGATTGCGTTTAGTCGGAACTCTCCACTATGTCCTGTCTGTCTTGGGTGTCCCTGCACGGCATAGCCCATAGCTTCTCTGAGTTACTCAAGCCCCTTCGCCACGACAAGGCAGCAATCCATGAAGGGGGAAATATAAATACAATATATATAATATTAAATTAATTAAATGCTAAACATTTATTATATTATATTAACAAATAAAATCAATCAACAGCTATTATTAAACTGCGTTCAGATTTTTTTAGTGCATCTAATGCTTTTTCCCCAGTAGCATTGTTCTATGAAATATTTTCCAAATTTTTTTGATCTTGTGTTTGTAATCCAGTTTTCTGTTTTGGGAAAGTCATAGAATGTATAAAAGGGCAGCATGTTTCATAGAAGTGATCTGTACAGAAGAATCCTGTTGTCATTTTTCTTTTCTGACTTAATTTCTCTAAATTTGCTGTTTCCATAATCTCTATATCAACGTCTGTGTATTGAAATCTTCTTTGGTGTTTTCAGTTTTATGCTATTGTATAGCCATTCTAGCTACTGCTAGCGTTAATGAGATTAAATGTTTCTACCAGTGAATAAAAACAATGTCAACATCATATCCAACCTTTTGACCTATCATATATTATGTTAAATTAAGTACATATTTCCATTGTTTTCTATTGATTTTGTAATTACTGATATTCTTTATTGTTTTATTTGACACAATCAGAGATCAAATGTTACTATGTGGCATCTGTGTACATCACATAGATTTGTAGGGAGCATTCCCAGTTCTTGTCGGATACCGGCCCAGCCTGTTGAGCCTGTCTGATAATGACACAGAACCGAACAGCAGTCTGTAGCAGAAGGATGGGCAAATATTCTTGGGTCAAATACAATTTTCAATGTTGGTTGACTGGCTGAGAACCAGGCATTCAATTGGGCAGGGTAGATATATCATGTGTCAAAATATGAGTATTATGCCTGAGTCCAATGTGGACAGCAGTACAGACACCTTTGTCTTGCCTAATCTGTTATTTCCACCGTTAGATCAATACTCTTAAAATGACTTCACTTTCTCCAACTCTCTGCTCAGCACTCTGTCTATTTTGATCATATAGGTATCCCTGTAGTATTTATGTCTTACATTTCCTTTTGCTTTGGATGTCTTTGTCACATATTCCAGATCCCAGTCTCTAGAGATATCTAAGAAAGATTCCCTAGATTCTGGTGTGCATGTTCAGTACTCATCAGTAGAATGTGGACATCCTCATGCTCACCTCCTGCTGCCTTGATTGTTCTAATCCTGCTGTTACCTGGAATGATATGATACTGGCACAAGTAACATAAGCCGCCTAGAGTGGTTGCAATGACCAGATAGGCGGGGTAGAAATAGAAATAGAAATAGAATAAATAAATTAAATAAATAAACATAGCCGAGCATTATAAAGGCAGATCAACATTTAATTAACAACAACAATAACAACCCTCAGCTGTCACCTTTTAATTTTGAAATTATTGAGCATTTGAGTGAAACACAGGAGCAGAGCTATTGCAAATTTTCACAAAATAGAATAGAGCTCGGTGGGGCCTGGGAAATCCGACACAGTGCATTAGGCAAACATGGAAACCAGTTTCAGCAAAACTAACACTTTTTAAGAAGTATTTTTCCTTTAACTTTGAAGTTTTCTATTGTTTTTGTTAAAAAGAAAATGTTTTGATTCAAATTGTACACAGTACTGTTAAGTCTAATATTGTTTGCACTGTATGAAGAACAGAGTTATGAGTTTTATGTCTGGTTACAGCTACAACTAAGCCACCGACAACCACCACCACGACTAAGGCTCCACAGAAAACCACAACTACTACTCTTATTACGACCACCAGCAGAATCAAACCACCAACCTCAACACCCAAACCCAAATCAACAACGAAACGTTCACCTAAACTGAAACCGAAACCCAAGGCCAAACCCAAGCTTAAGGCCAAGCCCAAGGTCAAACCCAAACCCAAGAGTATAAAGAAAAAGAAACAAAAGAAAGTGTCTCATGAAATCATGGAAGGTAGGGGGGAAATTGCATGATTGTGGAATTGTGGAATATGTGACTAGTATTGTTTAAAATGCATTTGGCTGTTTTCACACTTAACTATGTGACTTTGAGACTGGTGGCAGTTCTGTGGTGGAGGAGATCTGATAATACTTTTCTCCCCCCAGTTATGTTGATTACTCCTTTTATTGACTTCCAGAAGACCCAATTTACAATAATTTTAAATAGAATATCATGTTGAACCTTTGCTAAAGTGATGCCTTTCCCTATAGCAGTGAATCCCATATTTTCTGGTATCATTTCTCCATTAAAAAAAAACTTTTGAGTTATTGTCAAACCTCTCCACTCCTCATTTAACATTATCCAGCTCCTGAAATCAACTCCCAATTTAAAATTAAAAAGAGACATAACAACTTCATTTAAATATTTTAAATTAATCATAAGCATTTATGGTTTTTCTTGAGGAATCTAAAATTTAGGAATGGGAAGTATCTCACAAATTTGTTTAAACTGACAAAAGAATTGTTTCCTTTGTGAAAATCCAACTGTCTAGCAGCCATCCTTGCATTTCTTCATTCCTCCTTGGGGTATCAACCAGCCCCCCTCCAGTTTTGGAAGCCTTGAGCAATTCCTTGCAGTTCAGAATACAAAGGTGGTTCCTTTATCACGACAGTAAAAGATTGTCTTACTATAAAATAATACATTACTCCTGGTCTTGAAAAGGCAGGCTGGTTTTGAAATGCGAATGCTTGTTCTTGCAAATTAAAACTAAATGGTATGAGTGGAATCAGATATTTATTTTCTATAGAAGGGATCATTCATTAAATTAATGTAAAACACATCCTGATTGATTTTTGTGCACTTGTTGTCATATAGTAAGAATCCAAAATTTTCCTTTAGGTGTATACAAGAAAATGAGCTTATCAATGGGCTTTCCCCTGTCATAACAGAGATTCACTGGTGTTCTGTGGCTTCCATGGTTAACATACTCAGCCTCTTAGGAAGTCAATTAAATTGTTTCTTTCAGTATGGAACACAACTAAAAAAATATGCCTCTAATGTCAACCAACCATCTTAATGATAACAACAAACCACCAGGGGCTTTTCCCACCAAGTTGCCTTTGAGAGGCACATGTCTCCATCTGCAAATCTTAATTCTTCATTAGTCACATCCAGGTTGTAACAAAACTCTTCTCCACAAGCCACAACCACACTTTGAACATCTGTTCTCCAAATCACACCACCATTTGTTTCTGTAAGTCCTTTGGTTTAAAAAAAAAGATAGTTCACCGTTATGTGCAGATGGGGAAGTGTTTTGTTTTGCTTCTTTACTTTAATTGTATTGCTTTTTGATCTGAAGTGTTATTAATTTCCACTGAAGAGCAATGTGACCAGCCCACCCGGCTAATCACTTTTTCAACTCTTTAATCCCTTTTCCTGGGTTATTCTTAGGACCAAAACATATGAGTCAAGCTGATTAAATTGTAAAAGAAGCAATAATGTATTTTATTTTATGAAGTGTAGTGGTTACATGGCACAATTCTTAGTCATGCAGTTTCTTGTGTCTTAAAGAACCAACTTTCTACTGTCACTATAACAAGTTCTTTATTAACCGTGTAACTTAGATAGACAATATTCTTTTGGAAACTCACACTACTATGCTGGTAAACTATGTACTATATCAACCTCCCTCCAGCCCTCTCTGACTAACTCACTCTCTCTCTCTCCTGAAAACTCTTTCTCTCAGACTCTCTTTCCCTTTCCTTGATGAGTCGTGATTGGCTCAGCCCCGGGCAATCAGCTTCTCCTTGAGGCTGCCTGTCACAAGCATATATAATGGTTGCTACAAGTCAGTTGTGACTTGGTGGTACAAAACTAAATGTTCCAACAGTGATTTTAGTGACTAAGGCCACATATGGTCCATATCTGTATCAATAAACAAGAGTTTTCTAAGTTGGGAGCAGAACATTTTTTAAGGCTAAGAGGTGCACCTAAATGGTCAAAACTATGTTTCAGGTTCTTTCCGTTCAGAATTAGAATAACTTTGCATTAATAAAATGTCAAAGTGTTGCCTAAGTGGATAGTCAGCTCTATTGGGGACAACATCTGAAAAGAAGTTGTCTGAGAGTGAGAAGCTATACCATCTCTTTTTTTATGCTAACTGTATGTGCTCCACCGCAGAACACTCTGAGCAGTCATCCTCATCCTCTGCCTCCACCACCAAAATTCGGAGAACTATGGCTTCCATAAGAAAGGCTGGGGAAAAGCGCAAGAAGAAAAATGGTAAAAAACCTAAAGAACTGGAAGAAGAGAAGGAGGAGGAGGAAGAGGAGGAGGAGGAAGAGGAAGAGGAGGAAGAGGAAGAGGAGAAAAGGAGAGGTATGCATTGTATTCCTTTTTAAATGGAGAAAGAAGTGAAACAAATCACATTATACAAAAAAGTGTGGCACATGGACACAATCCTAAAATAGGTGGTAATGCTTTCATTAGGGCTCTAAAATCTCAAAAAAAGGTGCTCTTTTGAGTCCCACAGGACTCTTCATCAAGGTGGGCATTGCTGAGTTTTGAGGGGGGTGAGAATGAGACTCAAAGCAGCTTCTAATAAAAAGTGCTCTGTTATAGTTCAAAAATTGCATTTTGTGGCAGGGGAGAACCTGAATGTTGATATTTCAAGGTGCAGCACAGGGATCATTGCTCTGAAGGGAATGCAAAGAGCTGTGGGGAAACAAATGCCCTGTGGTATTTTGATGTGTCCTGGGGAGAAAGTCGAGCCATGCCACCACACAATGAGTAAGATTGTGTTACTGTAAGCCTGTTAAATTCATATCTTTTTTTCCCCTCCTGAACTACAGAGACAGCTTTGTTGCACAACACAAGCAGCAGGTTGGTTGTATGTCAATTAATATTACTTTGGACAGCATTACAACATGCTGTGCAACATTACAGTAGATCACCTCCCAGAAGTAGGTATGTGGCTGAGCCTATAATAGTTCTGAGAGCTTCTGTTAAGCAACGTTTAAACCCCCCCGAATCAGAGGCAGATGTTCAGAAACATTTCAAAAAATATATATGGAATGACATATTAACCATAGTGCTTGTTGTTCTCAAAAGTAGTAGCCAATCAGATATTTACCATGCTGTTTTTTGTTTTAGCTCGTGAATCAAGGTCAAAATTAAAATCTTCAAAATCCAAAGCAGTGAGAGTGGTTTCAGAAGAGGATGGCAGTGGGGTAGAGAATGCAGTAACAACTTTAGGTACTACAACTGCTACACTTACGACCACATCAAGGCAGTCTCCCACCAGCACCACAACCAAGGTATCAGTGAGTACTACAGCCGCCACCACCACAACTAAGGTACCGGTGACTCCTACAACCACCACCACAACCAAGGTGCCAGAAACTCCTACAACCACCACCACAACCAAGGTGCCAGAAACTTCTACAACCACCACCACAACCAAGGTGCCAGAAACTCCTACAACCACCACCACAACCAAGGTACCAGTGACTACTACAGCCATAAGCACAACCAAGTTGCTGGAGACTACTACAACTGCAACCACAACCAAGCTACCATCTACGACAACAAAACAGCCTGACACAGAGCATACAACCCAAGGAGACAAAGGTATTGCAGCAACTCCTGAAAATCATGTTAGCCAAACCCCTTCTCCCCAACCCGAGAAAGTCACCACATTCTTCAGAATTACTACCACAAAACCATTAAGGTTGCCAACTAGCACTACTTTTAATACCAATAAGGGACTGCCATTGTCCACTGAGACTAGTATTAGTACAAATAAGGAAATGAGCACTGCTGCACTGAAAACCACAGTCGCTCCAGCTAAAGACACAACAATCATATCCAAAAGAGAGATGACTATGGTAGAAACACCAAGGGCCAATAGTGACACAACAAATGCACATAGCTGGATTGTAACAGAAGAAAAGAGTGAAACAACAAATGAAACTTACCAAAGAGATACAACTGTAGCTGAAAAACAATCTATAGTAATAGATATTAAAGAAACAACAATAAATGCAGACGCAGAAACTACTGCGACTGCGGACAGTACATCTGCAAAGAGTCCAACAACCAATAAATCCGAAGAAAGCAACACTATCACTGGTATTGCAGAAACTAAAGACACAACGGCAGACAAAGCAGACACTTCTACTGCAATTGGAGAGACTGTAATGACAGAAAAAACTATAAGAACTGTGGGCAGCGAAACCATAGAAAATAAAGGACCCATCCCAAATGTTCAGTCTCCCAAACCAGACAGCCCTCAAAACCAACAAACAACCCCTGTAACTCTGTTCACAGACACACTTCACCCTGAAGCAGATTATAAACATGTCAGAACAGAAAGGAGTACTACAGTTACCGAAACAATAAAAACACAGACTGAACCGCCAAGTGACATTGGCAGTTCTGACCGTGATGATAAAAATAACAAACCAGAAAGAGCTACAACACTCACAGACACAACTGTAACACAGAAGAACCCTGCAAATTATCCCCCCACCAGTGGAGTTGATGATACAGTTGCCAGACCAGAAGGAACAAGTTCCACCACACCACTACAGAGGGATTCGACCAGTGAAACATCTAGTTCTGCTAAAACTGAGAAACCAGCAGAGATCACTCCAGTGGCAGATACACAAATGACACAACCTGATCTCTCAAGTGACACAACAAGTCTGAGTTCTGATGAAAGGAAACTAGAAAAGGATGCTACATCTACAGAGACAACAATGGTAGAGACTGAATTAGGGACTACAACCAACCCAGATGGAGTTGGTAAAAATGGCAGACCAGATGTGATTACTGAAGTTGCTGAGACATCAGTAACACAAACTGATACAAGTGGCATTCCCAATTCCAGTCATGTTGATACCTATGACAAACCAGACGGGGCTGTTACAAGTGCTGGCACACCAATAATGCAGACCAGTCCAGGTGATCAAGCCAGTCCCAGTGGGGTTGATAAACAGGACAACCTGGAGAAGACAACTCCAGGCACTGAGGGAATAACACCACAAACTGGTCCAGGAGATGCAACCACTCTTGATAGTTTTGATGAAAGCAACAACCCAGACAGGACTACTCCAGTTACACAGACAACACAGGTTGACTCAGGTGATACCTCCAGTCTTGGCGGTGTTGATAAAAATGACAAACCAGAACAGACTACTACAGTAACTGGAACAACAATTACACAAACCAACCCAGGTGATTCGACCACTCCCAATGGTGTCAATGGAAGTAAAAACCCAAAGGAGACTATTCCAATTACTGAGAAAACAACCACCAATCCCAATACATCAGTAGGGACAAGTGAAATTATTGACACAACAAAACCTCAGATCAATCCAGGTGACACAACTAGTCTCAGTGGCACTGATAAACAAGACAACCCAGATAGAACTATTCCAGTAACTGAGACAACAACACAGACTGATCCACAAGTTACAACCACTTCTGGTGGTGTTGATATGAGCAGCAAACCAGACAGGACTGTGCCAATTACTGACGCAAACAATCCTGCTGCCATTGACAAAAGTGATGAAATAGAAGGAACTACTACAGTCACTGAGACATCAACAACACAGACTGGTCCAGGTGATGCAACCAGTCCTAATGTTATTGATGAAAGAGACAAACCAAAAGAGACAACTACTGTCACTGAGACTACAACAACGGTGACTGATCCAGGTGATACGACCAATCCTGATGAAACTGACAAACTAAAAGAAACGACTACTGTCACTGAGACTACAACAACGGTGACTGATCCAGGTTATACGAGCAATCTTGATGAAACTGACAAACCAAAAGAAACGACTACTGTCACGGAGACTACAACAACGGTGACTGATCCAGGTGATACGACCAATCCTGATGAAACTGATAAACCAAAAGACACAACTACTGTCACTGAGACTACAACAACAGTGACTGATCCAGGTGATACGACCAATCCTGATGAAACTGACAAACCAAAACACATAACTACTGTCACTGAGACTACAACAACGGTGACTGATCCAGGTTATACGAGCAATCTTGATGAAACTGACAAACCAAAAGAAACAACTACTGTCACTGAGACTACAACAACGGTGACTGATCCAGGTGATATGACCAATCCTGATGAAACTGACAAACCAAAAGACACAACTACTGTCACTGAGACTACAACAACGGTGACTGATCCAGGTGATATGACCAATCCTGATGAAACTGACAAACCAAAAGACACAACTACTGTCATTGAGACTACAACAATGGTGACTGATCCAGATGATACGACCAATCCTGATGAAACTGACAAACCAAAAGAAACAATTACTGTCACTGAGACTACAACAGTGGTGACAGATCCAGGTGATACGACTAATCCTGATGAAAGTGACAAACCAACAGAGACAACTACTGTCACTGAGACTACAACAACAATGACAGATCCAGGTGATACGACCAATCCTGATGAAACTGACAAACCAAAAGAAACAACTACTGTCACTGAGATTACAACAGTGGTGACAGATCCAGATGATACGACTAATCCTGATGAAAATGACAAACCAAAAGAGACAACTACTGTCACTGAGACTACAGCAACAATGACAGATCCAGGTGATACAACCAATCCTGATGAAAGTGACAAACCAAAAGAGACAATTACTGTCACTGAGATTACAGTAACAGAGCCTGTTGTGGATGATGTAACTAGTTCCAATGGCATTGATAAAGGTGACAAACCAGACCAAACTATTACAACCACAGAGACAACACCAATACAAATTGATCCAAGAGGAGTCACACCCAGTCCTCGTGATGATGATACAAATGGTAAGACAGAACAGACAACTACAGTCACAGAAACCATAATAACAGAGACTGAACCCATGCGTGATTCACCTACTCCTGATAATGATAAAAATAATAAATCAGAAGAGACTGTTAAAGTTACAGAAACAACAACAACACAGACTGATCCAAATGGTATGACACCCAGTCCTTTTGGTGAGGGTAGCAAAGAGAGGTCAGAAGTTATCACAACAATTACAGAGACAATAATAACAGAGACTTACCCCCAAAGTACAACACCCAGCCCCAGTGTTGATGACAGACCTGATTCCCCTGCTCCTGATGATGATAAAAATAGTGAACCAGAAAAGACTACTACAATCATAGAGACAACCACATCACAGACTGATCCAGCTAGTGGCACTCCTAGGCCAGAGGTGATGACAACAGTCACAGAGACAGTAACAACAGAGACTAATCCAAAAGGTGATGAACACAGCCCTGGGGTTGATGACAAAAATGGGATGCCAGAAGTGACCACGGTCACAGAGACAGTTATAACAGAGGTTGGTTCTGTTGGTCCTGACAAGAACGTTCCTTCAGAAAATAACCCAGAGATCCCAGCAAAAACAACACCTCAGCCTGAGCCAGCAAGTGATGAGCCAAATCCCAGCGATGATGGCAATGGTGACAAGCCAAATGAAACTACAAAAGTCATAGAGACAACAACGATAATCACACAGCCTAGCTCACCAAACGATTATACACCAAGTCCTGACCAAAGTGACAAAGTCACCCAGACAACCACGACCATTACAACAGAATCTAAACCACTAAGTGATTCTCCTAATCCTGATGAAAGTGGTAGTGTCACTACAGTCACAAAAACAACTCAAACTACCACAACAGAATCAAATCCTAACCCAAGTGACAATAATGAAAATCCCAAGTCAGAAGTCATCACTAAAATTACACGGATAATAACTACTACAACTACTACAACCACCATCCAATCCAATACAACTGAATATCCAGAAACAACCACACGTGATGTTACAACTAATACAAAAATTGATCTTGTTTCAGATAGAGAACCCACCAAGGAAAGTCCAACTAACAAGAATACAAATACTACAGTAACACAGGTGACTACAACTTCTTCAATATCATCAACATCTCCCAGCAACCCACCTTCTATAGGAGACAAGACTACACAGCATACAACTACTTCACCAATCACACGTGTACCAACAAAAAGAAGGCAAGTGGTGACCTATTACCCCACTACAACATATTCTACAATTTCCACAACTAGACTTCCAGAGAAGATTACCAACAAAACCACAGAGTATGTTCAACCAGAAAACATTGTTACATCTCTATTGTATAAAGGTATTGTACTCTTTCCTACTATGTATACTACCTTAGATCATCTAATTTCAGTGGGATTTACAATCACATAGAAACCCAATGGGACGTGGTGGTGCTGCGGGTTAAACTGCAGAAGCCTCTGTGCTGTAAGGTCTGTAGAGCTGTAAGATCGAATCCATGTGAAGGAGTGAGCACCCATCACTTGTCCCAACTCCCGCCAAACTAGGGGTTCGAAAGCATGCAAATGTGAGTAGATAAATAGGGACCACCTCGGTGGGAAGGTAACAGCATTCCGTGTCTAAGTCGCACTGGCCATGTGACCACGGTAGATTGTCTTCGGACAAAACTCTCGCTCTATGGCTTGGAAACAGGAATGAGCACTGCCCCCTAGAGTCGAACACGACTGAACAAAAATTGTCAAGGGGGAACCTTTACCTTTAGAAACCCAATACCAACAGTTTATTTGCAATATGGGTGATTGTCAATGTAGTTATGTACCTAGAGGGAGTGAGGGTTGAATGTGTGTGGATGGATGGGGAGGGTGTATAACAAGAGTGAGGAATCTTTGGTTCTCCAGCTATGTGGGCCTATGATTCTCACCAGCTTTACCCAGCAGGGCAAACTGTAAGGGATTCTGAGAGTTGTTAAAAATCTGGACCAAATGTTCCCCACATTCTGGTGTGTGGTCTCAACCCAGTTGATACTGCTATTTAGTGAGTATGGGAGAAGAGATGTACCCTACTGCATTTGAGAATAGAAATTATAATTCCTCAGGAGCACTTCTAAATCTGAAGTGCAACTAATTATTTTAAAACAACCACTTCCTCTTCTTTCAGCCTTGAATATACTTAACAGTAAGTCTGTGTACCTCACCTCTGCCTCCAATTGAAACCTGAAATGATGCTCCTGCTGCAGACTGAATAGACATTTCCCCTGATAGATAGAATTTGTTGAATGCAAGGCTTGTAGGACATTCCCCCTGATAGAATTTGTTGAATGCAAGGCTTGTAGGGTTAATTTTAATTTATTTATTGCTTTGTATCCTGTCTTTTCTCTAAGAAGCTTACTTTTTATTTTCTCTCACACCCATACTTCTGTTTTCCACAAAACACCATGATATAGGTGAAGATGAAAGATAGTGGCTGATCAAAGATTACCTAGTGAGTTTCATGGATGGGTGAGAAGTTGAATCTTGCTCTTCTCATTCCAAGTCTGACCCGTGAACTATCACTGTACTTTGGCTTGATCTTAGGTGGAGCATGGAATCACCAGCTGGAAAGCCTCTGGTTCATAAACCCCATAGCTAAACTGATTTGAGCAGCAGGAGCACCTCACAAAGAGGGAGTAGAGTTCTCCCTCTGCTTGGACTGTTAGCTGCCTCTGATAAGTGCTGTGCTTAAAATACTAATTTGGAAGTTCTAGTCTTAAAGAATAAATATGAAAAGAAGGCTAGTTTTTATTTTGTGGAGTGGAGTTTTCATTTGAAAGAACCCATATGCTTTTTTTCTAAAAACAAATCAATAGGAAGCAACTTCTTAATTTTCTTCATAGCAATTAATCAATAGCAGTAACTGTCAACAAGAGGTATACATACCAGTGGCGGGACGAAGTCATTTGGGTGGGATTCAACATTATCAAAACAATTTCTAATAATTTCCTGTTCTTTCACATCTTATGTCTTCCTGCAACTGAGATATACTATCTCCTACTAACCATTTCTGCTATGGATTACCCATGTATATCTTTCTAGTAGGTTGGTAGTAACAATGGATGCTGAATATTTCTCCTATATACTGTGCCCTCTGCCCATGATAAATATAAAAACAGAACACCTATGAATATATAAATGTCTTTCTCAGAAAAAATGGGATTTGACTCATGGTGGCTCTGGGTTTTCTGAAAAAGTACCATATTTTTCTGTGTATAAGATGCCCCCATTTATAAGAACCCCCCCCCCTCACTTTTCTAATCCAAAATTAAGAAATCTAAGTGGGGATTAACAAGGGTGGACGGGAAAAGGGAACAAAGTGCTGCAGGATAGCTTTGATCCCTGCTTTCCCCTCCACTTGTTTTTGTTCTCTCCTCTTCTCTTACTTCCGTGTATAAGACAACCCTGAATTTTTAGTCTAAAGATTTTAGACAAAAGTATAGTCTTATACAGGGAAAAATGTGGTAAGTAGTGGGACAAAAGGTGGAGGACCATTGATCAATGGTATAAAGGCAAGAATATTTATGAATGTATATTAAGTGGAGACATATTTATCTAATGCAGTGGCTGAAATCCTGATGAGTAAGGTTTACATAAATTGTGGCCAGTTGATGAGATAGTACGACACATCACAGATGTGCAGTCGCATTCGTGATCAGCACATGACTGAAACATACCACAATACCTTGTTAAGTAGTTACAATTAATCACAGCAAGATTACAGAAACCTTATACAGACTCCAGGATTCTGGCTATTGTGCCAAAAGTATGTGTAGGAGTCAAAGGGTGGGTAGGAAAGGGTTCTAAAAGAAGTACCATTCTCCACAAATCCTGTAGACTTTTGAAAGTTCATTACAAATACCTGCATAAGCACTGTAAATATATACAGCTGAGTGCACTCACAGTGTTTTCATGACTGACAACCCTATTTTAGGAAGGTGTTGTAATGGCAACATTACTGATGGTAACATTTCAGGAAGAGTAAGATTTCATTCAACCTTGTACCTTTTATTCAAAACTATTAATGAAATGTGTGAGATGGTGAATCAATATGGTCTATTGTGGGCATTGACTTGGGATATGAAATTTCAGATCCTAGCTGGCACATCGGTATATTGGGTTCCCAGATGAAATATAGACTGGACTGAGAAGCTCAAGTTGTGTTCTGTTTTAATTTGTTTACTTTATCCCACTCTCTTTCCGAAAGCTAAGGCAGATATATATTTAGCCACTCTGTCCCTATGTTTTTATTATTACAATAATTATGTGACAGAAATTAAAGGGGGGTGGAAGCGAAAAGCCCAAGTCATTCAGTGATCTTTATAACTTACTAGGGAATCAGAGAGAAACTGATTCAAATGTAGGACTTTTATCAATGACATACTACATTGGCTATTTTGAAGATGAGAGGTCCAGTCCACCCCAGGCAGTATTGATTTTGAGCAGCATATTTGACAACCATATGTCTTTTATAAACAGCCTAATGACTTAGATTGTATGAACAATTAGCATTGTGGTTGTGGACTTGGATGTGAAATCCTCACTCCGATAAAGAAGTACCCTGGTGCCATAATTCTCTTTTGGCTCAAACCTTTTCTGAGGTAGGTTCTTCGCAAATTTTTCAAATCCAGAGAAATACATTTGACTGCAGCTAGAAACTGGTAAGCATATTAAATCCACTTCAAAATTACTCATTCTTAACATTAAAAAGGTAATAAATATTAAGCAATATCAGTAGAGTAAGATTTATTTACTCATTTGTTAAGTTATACCTGCCTTTCAACCAAAGGCACTACATAATTTTATGAGAAATGGTGTACCAAATGGTGTCCTTACAGATCATACAAATGTTAGGAGTAAAATTTTAAAGATCATATACAAGGAATGTGAACTGAATGTAGAGCAAGTGGGTCATCAAAAACCATATGGAAATGGGTAGTGGTACTATTTGAGATAAGAGTATATGATACCAACTTGCTAGGCCACTGTGCGTTTCCCTGAGAAAATTATGTTGGGGGGACCAAGTTTTACCATTGATAATGAATTTTTATTATCATAAGGTATTTGCCATATTCATCTTATTTAAAATGTTGCTAAATGGAAACTTTCTTGATATGTGATTTATATTTAATAAAAATAAAATAAAATGGCCGTTCCATATCCGGATCAGCTGAAGTAAGGATCCCAAAATTTGAAATTGACAATTGGTTTGGAAAGCTCAAAACAATATGTTGCTTCATGAAATCCCCAATATACGAAACATAATTGTGAACAGTTTTGGAAGTTGGTTATTAATTATATTGTAGGCCATCCAGCGTTTAATCAGATTTAAAATTTTAAAAGAAATATTTTGTAGCTAATATCCATTTTGTAGAGACTCAGAAGTATTTCAAAATACAGTATATATGTTGTATGCTTCCTTTTAAAAAGTGGTTTAGGTTGACTTTCCGGACATGATCCCCTCAAGGAAGCAAATCATTATTTTATTTCCAAGCAATCAAATCTCAGCGGTGGGAAACACAGATTTTCTTACCATACTTTGAAAAAAAATGCCAGCATAGAACACAACAGATCACAATTTCAAGATGGAAATCATTTAACACTAGGGGCTGTGAATCGTATTTAAGAATCAAATGAGTTCAGTTTTGCAAATTGCTGTATATATATATTTAAGGTTTAATGCACTTAAAATAAACTATACTTGTTATTATCTTCCCACTCATGCATTAAAGAAGGTATTTTAATTATAATACTTCAGCATAGTAACTTGCAAATAGAGTATCAATGGACTGTAGAGAGGAGGTGACTCACCAAATCCACACTGATTCTGTGGTTCTGTTCTTGTGTGACTTACTATGCCAAGCAACAGGATTTTAGCCATTGTCCTCTGCTGGGAGATGCTGAGAGACAGCTGCTTCATTTTCCTGATTGCCCTCCTGGCTATTTCCCCTTTTTGGAGGGAAGAGCTGAGCTAGCCATGCAGTCTATCCTCATCTCCTAAACTTCTCTTCAGCTGCCCTTATGTCAGGTGAGGAAGGCTACCCCATTGTCAACATTAAATAAAGATCCAGTGGGCATTTGGGTCCGATTATGCATGCGAAGGAGGGAGACGCCATCTTTCCCTTTGCCTTACCAAGAAGCAAAGCAAGGTATTTTGAAGAACTTATTTGCTGCTGAAATCAAATGTGCAGGATTTTACAGATCAATGTGCCAATACATCTAAATGGATTGCAGCTCTCTTTAGCAAGCATGTTTCTGTTGAGAAGAGAGACTGACTCCACCAGGCCAATGCATTCTACTTTCTTCACATCTTTAGTCTCTGATTGTGTTTTGCAGGTCATTACTACTGGCTCCTGAATGGAACACACTCACCCTCACCTTGCCCTCGTAAGATTGTCGAGGTGTGGGGTATCCCCTCCCCTATTGACACCGTCTTTTCTCGCTGCAACTGTGATGGTAAAACCTTTTTTTTCAAGGTGGGTAATTTGTCTTCCATATTATGTGGATATTAGCAAATACACAGGTAAGTATTTCCAGACGCTGACTGTAGTATGGCAGCCAGCCTTCCAAAATATCTGAGACTACAATCTCTGTCATATCAAGCCAGCACAGCCAATGGTTATGTTTTGCTGTTGAAAACATTTAGCAGGTACCATGCTGGGGAAAGATGTGGTTGGGGAATCTGGGAGACTGCACTAAACAAGCCACATATCTGCCACATACCGTGGCTAAAAAAATCATTTTTGTGCACTGTTTATCCATATGCAAATTTTAACCCAACTCCGGGAGGTAGTGGACGAAAGGAGGGCCTGGCATGCTCTGGTCCATGGGGTCATGAAGAGTTGGACACGACTAAACAACAACAACAAATTAGACAAACATGTTTTGTTTTATTTGCATACTTTATAATGACTGATTTGCTGTAAGCCTTGGTTGCCCTTTTGGGTAAATGTATTTGGAAAGGTTTATTTATTTATTTATTTACCATATTTGCCGGCGTACAAGATGACTTTTTGGGCCCAAAAAACATGCCTCAAGTGGGGGGGGTCGTCTTGTATGCTAGGTGCACTGAATGACGTGGGGCTGCGCTGGCCAGGGAGGAAGGCAGGCGGGCGGGCAGGCAGGCAGGCAGTCGGTCTGGAGGGATGGAGGGAAGCCCAGCCTGCCATGCCTGAGCGGCCAAAGCCTGCCGCCGGGCTGCCCGCTGCCCCGAACCGCTGAGCCAGCCACGCGCTCGCTCGCCCGCCACCCACCCGTTTCCCTTTTCCTCTTCCTCCTCTTCCTCCTCCTGCCGCCGCCCACTCAGCCTCTTCCTCTCTTCCTCGCCCTCTTGCCGCCACCCCTGAGCCACCGCAGGGCTGCCCGCTGCCCCGAACCGCTGAGCCAGCCACGCGCTCGCTCGCCCGCCACCCACCCGTTTCCCTTTTCCTCTTCCTCCTCTTCCTCCTCCTGCCGCCGCCCACTCAGCCTCTTCCGCTCTTCCTCGCCCTCTAAAGACCTCAGGCTTTTGAAAGTTCTCCATCCCAAGTAAAGGGAGAAAATGATAACGTAGAGACCATGCAGAGCAGGTAGAAGCATGACAGCTCTCTTGCCCGTGATCCTACTACAGTAACTTGACCAGGGTTGTCACCTTTAGAACGTAGTCCACTTTATGCCGGATTGTAGGCTTGTCAACAGTCCTATACTTACTTTTTGTTCCTAGTTTTTCCAAAGTGCATGGAGTACTAGTTCAGGTCCCTGATTGTTAAGTAGAGAACTTGTTATACTCTTAAGCACGCTTACCTGAAAGTAACTCCTAGCAAATGTAGCAAGTCTTCCTTCTTCGTAAGCAGACAGTGTTAATAGACAGGCACAATAATGAAACAGGCACAGAATAAATGGGCATAATTCTGTTGTAATTTTGATATAGACTGCAGCATTATATTAGAATACAATAAAGGGTTTGAATATTTTCTGCCTTCACATTTCAAGTACAACATGGGAAAGTTAAGGAGTAGAAACAGAATGGTAACCAGTTAAAGACATCCATATTTTCACATAATAATTTGCAATTACCTTTATTTATATATTGATATTCATGTATGAATAAAGCTTTTTCTAGTTATAATCAAAAGGATATTATTTAACCCCCATGCGCTGACTATATATTGCAACTTTGATCTTGCAAGCTTCACTTACAAACACAGCTCTTAGCTGGAATGAAAAAGTCTTTTCCATACACACTGTTAATTTTCTAAACCCCTACAAAGTTTAGGCACCTGGTAAAAACATCTGCCTTGAAAATTAATATGGAAACAGTTTGAAGAAATTGAGTAGTTTCCAGAAACCACCAGAACTCTGCACCACACCTTATATTAAATATTTCCTATTCCTCAGCTGGAATTTTAAACACTATTAAAAGCAAAAGTGACTCTTGAAGTGCCGGGTGGCAACCTCTGTTCATTTTACATAGCACTCTGGGAGGCAGTGAAAGACAGAAAGACCTGGCGTGCTCTGGTCCATGGGGTCACGGAAGAGTCGGACACGACTTAACGACTAAACAACAAACAACAGAACAAAGAAGTGCTTAAGCACAAACAGAACTAGCCCAGTTTGTTTTGCTGCAGCAGACAATGCAAAAGGCACTTAGGATATTTTGCAGCGGGCAAAAGGATGCTGGGAGCATGTTTCAGGCCTTCTCTGCCAGGTGGCTTTTGGTGATGTCTTATACAAAGGACCTGATTCTGTGTCGGGAGGAACAACAGGGTCAAATGTTAAAGTCATCTGCAGTTAACTTTTATTTGTATAATGTGCCATATATTTCCGTGTATAAGACATCCCCCACTTTTCTAACCCAAAATTAAGAAATCTAAGTCGGGCTTAGCACGTGGAGGGGAAAGCAGGGATCAAAGCCCTGCAGGATCACTTTGATCCCTGCTTTTCCCCCCACTTATTTTTGTTTTCTCCTCAGCTTACTTCCATGTATAAGACAACCTTCAATTTTTAGTCTAAAGATTTTAGACAAAAGTATAGTCTTATACACAGAAAAATATGGTAAGCAAGTGAGAGGCTTTTCCTCAAGCTAAACGTGAGGGCTAACATAGTTTATGTGTTACAGAAGGGAAGTACAAGAGATGAGGGATGATGGGATGATGGGAGTCACAGTCCAGCAAAATCTGAGGGCTACATGTCCTGTGCTATGAGACCAGAATTAGAGAGATTCAACCCTACCCACCCCCTTAGTGATGGAAGTGATTTTGGGTCACTCACAATTTCTCAGAGAGATTTGGGGTGAAGATAAAAGGGATGGGTGGGATGACTATGTAGTTGTCCTTTGAGTTCATGGGAAGAAAAGGAGGCACAGGAATAACAATAAATGTTAACATGGCTTGCAGAATCAACTACACAGAAATCATCTAGTTTCCCATTTCATCTGCTCCTCTCAATCCATGTTGCTAAAAGTGGCCACACCAAGGGAAGTCAGAAAAGCGAAGTCAAAGAATCAGGCTTTTTTAAATTATGGTCCCCAGTCTCTAGAATAGGTTACCGAAGGAGATACAACAAGCTCCTTCCCTCTTTATCTTTAGGAAATTGTTGAAAAACTATTCAAAGCTGCCTTCATCAATGGAGTCTCCTGGATGCTGTCAATGTTAATATTATTTATTTTCTTGTTCTTTAAAAAAACTTTTAAATTAGGTTTATAATCACCATATTGAAAACATAGCACTGTTATGTGGAGCATTGTTATGTGGAGTCTGTGGGAATTTTAAGTTTTAACTTGTAAACTACCCAGAGTAGTAATGGGGCAGTATATCAATCAATTAATCAAATAAAAGCTTAAGGTTTTATACTAGAGCTCAATTTCCACCAACTCAAGCCATGTCCAAACTAGTGAAGCTGGAGGGCATGTTGGGGAGACAAACTGTTTAAATTAGCTCTGCACTCAAGGCACTTGTTTGTCTTCTCTCTCAATACTGCAGATGCCAGGACAAACACAAATGACTGCACTCATATGTAACACTAACACAAAATTGCTGGCAATCTTCTCTTCACACCTAGATTTGTTGTTGGCTTACGAATCCTGCTTGTTTTGTATCAACATGCCAGAAACCATGGTTTGAATATCACACATAACTCCACTGTCTTTCTTTCACATGGCTGAATGAAACAGGATTAATTAAGTAGTATATATTATCAGAGATACCCAATGTGGTGTCGTGGATAGAGTGACAGACTAGTGCTCAGAAGGCCTGGCTTTAAATCCCTGCTCAGCTGAGGAAACTCACCGGGGATGTAGAACTCTTTAATATTTAAAGCCACTCTTTAAATATCTATGTTTCTTTGAAAAACCTATCAGAGTTGCTGTAAGTCAGTTCTGACTTGATGGCACATAACATACTGTATTTCCCTGAAAATAAGACAGGGTCTTATATTAATTTTTGCTCCAAAAAAGACATTAGGGCTTATTTTCAGGGGATGTTTTATTTTTTTCATGTACAACAACCTACATTCATTCAAATACAGTCATGTCATCTTCTTCTGGGTGCTGCACAATGGTGAAGGGCAGGGTTTCACTTAACCGGGGCTTATTTTTGGAGTAGGGCTTATATTACAAGTATCCCGAAAAATCATACTAGAGCTAATTTTCAGGTTGGGGCTTATTTTCGGGGAAACAGGGTATTTTGATCCCGGCCGTGAAAGCCTTCGAGAATATATTTTGACACTGCTTGGTCATAATAGGGCTTGGAAGAGATAATTCTGCAACTCCCAGAATTTCCACTTTCTGGAGGAATCTTCTAGTAGTTTGTAAGATGTCCCTCATCTAATGGATCTGCTTTAATCGTGTAATTTTGTGTTGTGTACAGTGGTGCCCCACAAGACGATGTTAATCCGCTCCATTGAAATCGCTGTCTTGTGAAAACATCGTCTTGCAAAAAGTGTTTTCCCATTGGAATGCATTGAAATCTGTATAATGCGTTCCAATGGGAAAAATAGTTGTTGTCTTGTGAAAATCGCCCAGAGGGAAGCCATTTTGCGAAATGCCGATCAGCTGTTAAAACCGCTGTCTTGCGAGGCATCGGTGCCGGGAAAAAAACCGTCTTGCGAAGCACGGACAAAAACCGCTGTCTTGCGAGGCATCGGTCCTGGGGAAAAAACTGTCTTGCGAAGCACGGACCAAAACATCGTCCAGCGAAAATCTCCCAAAGGAAACACTGTTTTACGAAGTGCTATAGCGATCACAAAAAATCGTCATGCGGATTTGTCGTTTTGTGAGGTCATTGTCTAGTGGGGCACCACTGTAGTTCTCTACAGAGCCTAATTTTCTGTTTAATGTGAATGGAATGGATTGATTTGCATTAATCTATCTAATCCAACATATGTTTGTCTTTCTGTCATGATCCATTTTAATTCTCAGGATTCTCAGTACTGGCGCTTTACTGATGATATAATGGATCCTGGCTATCCCAAACTAATTGTAAAAGGATTTGGGGGATTAAATGGGAAAATCACGGGAGCTCTCTCTGTGGCTAGGCACAGGAACAGGCCAGAATCTGTGTACTTCTTCAAAAAAGGTAGGGTTCATGGTTTGGGGCAGCTGTTATGCATGTTAGAAACACTGGGGGCTTGGATATTTGGGTTGGCTATTAGAAAATGATGTTGAGAAGACTCAGACAAAAATAAATGATGTGTTCTATTTGGTAGGCCTTGTGTCACTTTTTGATATCACATGGTATTTAGTACTGTCAGAGGAATTGCGACAATCTTTATCCATTGTCAAGCATATAAATAAATTAAATACCTTTGAATCAGTGGAAATTGGAGCTTTGATGGAACACAAGCCGTACTATTTTCAGAGGACACACAATCATGATTTATGACACATATCATAACTGTACATTCCATCATGTGTGATAATACTGTTTCTAAGGTAAAGTATACCATCTGTAGCGTTTGCTTATTTAAACATTAATCTTTTGTCAAAATAATATTTTGCCCCATGAATCCAAAGCATCTGAATAAGATAAAGCCCCAGCTGAATTTCTTATTGTTTTCACTTCATAAGAATTTTAAAACTTATGAAATAAAGACATCCCAATTATTATGGCAGTGCAAATGGTAGATTAAGATATCATTTGCACAGATGATAATGACAATTATCATTAGTAAAACACTAGCATCAAAATAGCTCTTATGTTTGTGAGGTTGAAATTAACAGTGAAGCGTTTATTCCTGCTTTTTGCTATTATGATTCTTCTGCTCCAGGTGGTAATCTCCAGCAATATACTTACAAACAAGAAGGACCAAAGAAATGTAGGAAGAAGGTTGTAACTGTGAAATATCCAGCTTATAAACCAAAAGCTATCATCAGGAGGAAAAGGAGGCGTTTTGAGCGTGCCGTAAGACCTCATCAGGTTTTCCGCAGTGTCAGAGTCCAACGTTACCCAGTAATTCAGATCAGACATCAGCCAATAGGTAGAATCACCAAGTCTTACTGTCTGTAAATTACTATCCTATAAATCTGGGCTGCTGACATCTCACTGAATTTTAAAGTGAGCAGATTAACCAAGGGCCTATAAATTCAGTTCTGTCAACAATTTTTAAAGGAAATATTTACTTTATAATTAAATTACTTACTTAAATATTAAATATTGAATAATATTTACTTAAATATTTGTTTCATGGATCGTGGGCCAACAGACTGTAGCTTTAAAACACTTTTATATCATGTCCTCACTTATTTCAAGAGGGATTATTTTGCATTTCCAGGTGTACTGCAGCCGGAGGTCAAAGTCTCATCATACTGGAGAGGATTTCCAAAGGAAGTTAATTCTGTTATCTCTATTCCTAATAATGAGAAATCAGACGGCTATGATTACTATGCTTTTTCTAAGGGTATGTTCTTGCTACCAAATCACAACCACACCTTCCAGTGATGGCAAATGATGGTTAGAATTAAATATGCACCACACTTGTCTTATCCTTTTAAATGATATGAACACACTAAAGAGGACATGATCCAAAGGTACTAAAACTCAAGTAATTGAAACTGCATCTATTCAGCATACACAGTAGAATCCCCATAACCGACGGATCAGTATCTGCTGTTTCACATATCTGCGTTCTGAAAAATATTAAAAATACTGTATTAAAAATTAGAAATATATATTTTCACAATGTATTTACCAGAATTAGCTGCTATAGGGAGCCAGATACCGTGCTATGTATTCTTGTTGTTAAGAATACATAGCATGGTTTCTGGCTCCCTGCAATGGCCACTTCTGGTAATACATCATGAAAATATTTTTTAAGACTTTCTTTTACCACATTAGGAATAGTATTCACTACTATCCAGAGTTTTCAGCATCTACAGGGGATTGGGTTCAGTTCCACCCCCCCATGGATATGGGGGTCCTACTGTGCTATAAAAGTTAGGTGCTTTATGTATCAATACATTGAGCTATATATACAGTATATCACAGGAGTACACCCCCTCATATTTCATAAGTATTTTAGTATATCTTTTAATGTGACAACACTGAAGAAATGACACTTGGCTAAAATGTAAAGCAGTGAATATACAGCTTGTATAACAGTGTAAATGTGCTGTCCCCTCAAAATAACGCAACACACAGCCATTAATG